TTTACCGTCCATTTTCGCCTTGCTCAGGTGGGACAGCGGAGGCGCCAATGCTTGTAATTCGGCGCCCGCACCATCTGTTTATCAAGCAGGTATCACGAACCAAAGCGGCGACTCAACCATACATAGCTCAGTGGCTTGAACCCAGTGAAACACTTCCAATAACACCACGTGTAGTGCACTCAAGATAGCTCAGTCTAGAAGCTTCGGATGTCTCGGGACATGGTCTTCTAGACTTGTCGTCTGAATGCCAGTGGAGATAGCTGGGATGTTTTTGATCTTGCGCAACCGACCTTGCTACGCGTTTAACTCATGCTGTTTGGCCAAGAAAACATCACAAGGGATGACTAGTCTCCGCTACTAACAGAAGGCTCGAGCATAAACTTTGAGCCACGACGATGACATCCCTAGCTCAGAATTGAGAAACTACTCCATAATGCCTCAACGATAGTCTGTAGTCTGGAACCATTTACCCCAAATCACATCACCGTCGAATCACAACTCTATGACCCCAGTAACAGATTACCTTCGCCACGGAAGCGTAGTTCCGCGCGTTTACAAAGTTGGAGTCAAAGCGTCCCCAATGCACAGCTAACATCTGATCACAGCCCCATAACACAAGATTAACGAAGGATTCATCTCAGCTGTACATCTCAAATCAGGTGATCTGAGGCCCCGTACTCTGGGGACACTGCAACTGTGGTATGACAGACAAGGTTAACACCTGGAGAAAGATTCAGATTATGGGGTTGAGATTTCAGATCTCGGACCTATGGGAACATCTGAGCTTCTTTATGGGGAAGATTACTCAAAAACAGAGCATCAAAACAGCTCATTGCCTTTTTTTCATGATAACAATTTTTCACTATCATGATACCATCATCCCACATCCCGAAATGATCCGAGTAAAAAGCATACATGCTTATCAAGGTATAAGCGGAAGCATTCCACGTATTGGCAGGGGTAAAGGTTTGCCACAATTTGGAGAAAGAAGGGTTGCCAAAGCGTGGAGAAGAGCTATGTATGTATGAGTTATAATTGGGAAATGTTCTCGAAAACGCTAGAGGTGCGGGCGCTTGGTATGATAGGAGACTTTCGTTCGTGTCCCCAGTCTCGATGCATCGTCGGAGTCTGGAACCGTAGCACTTGGTAACTCTGTCACATTTGCGCTCCCGTCATTTCCCATACGCTGTCTCTGACACATACCCTAGTCTCTCACTGTCGAACAAGTGCAACAAGCCCCCAGATACCCCAGATATCAATGGAAAGTCAATATTTGCTTTGACCTCGGGCATACGAAACCCCCCAGCTAGACTAGAGGTATATCGTATTGTTCCCCTCAGGTGGAGGTTGGAGATATCGTACGAGCCGCCACTAGAACGTCGAGACTTTGGGGTCAAGAACCAATCAGTGCGATGAAGAGTGCGTCGACTTTTCTAGCCAATTACTTTGTTGGGTTAATGCTGATCGGAGGTTGTGACTAAAGAGGCAGATGCAGCCTAGCCCCGCGATTCAATCTCCAACCGAGGAGGGAATCCTTGTTCACTTTGGGGAAAAGACGGAGGGAAGATTGACTCGGTGGACTCGACTCGTAAAGCTTTGACATTCTGTGTTGTCTCTTATCTCTATGAGTCTTTGGTGAGTATTCACGATGACTTGGCTGGTCTTGAGCGACAAACGTGCCAGAAAGTTGTTGCTGTTGGTGATAGATGAAGTCGGCTTCAATGCGACGGATTTCCTCATTTAGAAACCGTCTCGGCGCCAAGGCGATTATTTCCCGAGTCAGCCAAGACGCACTTAGTGAGGTCATCCCGTCGAAATGATCGCCAACCAAGAAAAACAGTCGGACTGCAAAAGTGACTGGCGAAAGAGGGACGATGTTACAGAAGTGCCACGGCGATCAACTTCCAGAACAATCCTAACTCACTCACACAGACGATGCATGTAAGCATGGACCAACGAGGGATTAAACCAACAACCACCCGTCATGGGTCATCGTTACACCTCCAAGTTCACTGACCTCGACCCTAGATGTGACCAAGAAAAACGCCAATACCCTTTCACCTCCAACGCCAAGGTCACTTATCGAGATGGAGACTCGGCATGTGTCTCCCCCAATTCTGCCTCCACTTGCTTCTGTTTTCTCTGTAGTGAGTTACAGCGTAAGCGGGGACTGTGAAGAAAAAGTTCTGCCTACGTTCTGCCCTTGCTAGTTTTAGGTGTTAGTTGTCTCTCCCCGCAGAGCCAGTGGGTGTGTTAGGCCCCATATTTCACAGTGCAAGGTAAGCTTAACAGGGAGCCTTAAAATGTTATGCCAAACCCTAACGTTAAAGTGGTATAAGCGTAAATTCCGGGGTGATCGGCAGTTACACTGAGAAGCACAGCGGTGCCGTATTGCCGAATAAGTCTGGCTCGGCCTCTCCGCATGTTTTGGAGGTGTCCACCTTTTGTTATGTGTGCGAACGGGGTTGTCATCTTGGTGATTAATCCCATGTGACCAATTGTGTTTCATGGCTTCCAACCCTCTTTTGGTGGGTGATGGAGTGATACAGCGTCATAGGATATGGCGAGAGGGGGATATGTCATATAACGAGATACCAAAAACAAGACAACACTGCAAAAATGATTGACTACGTAGTATTATTATCACATTGTATGTCTAAACCCGTACATTCGTATAAACTTGCGGATCCGTTGTCATCCTGTTCTCCCCCGCATACACACACAGACAACAAACTCTCAACCTTGATCCCAGTCAACAGACCAAAATCCTTCTTCCCTCCGTTCTCACCCGGCTCAACAAATGACAACCCCTTCTCCATCCCCATACTTCCTTCGCTCTGCGGGGAACAGAACAAGGCTAGGGTGGTCACCTCACTCTCTGTTCACGGGCATGATCCGCTAGACGAGTACCCCAACTTCGAGACCCATCCCCACGTCTACTGTAACTCTAGGGTTTTGTGTTGGTGCGACATGTTACCATTACACTGCATGATATGGGGACTGGCTAGTGATGCTGTAATCGGAGATAACACATTAAGCTTGTTGCTGCGATCTGCGGCCGTGGCTGGCGTTGCGCAAAAAAAGGATATAAATCCCCCCTCTTCTCCCCGTAAACTCAATTCTCCCCAACCATCATCCCCTCCCAACTCTCTTCTCCCTACAAGACCTGTATAAGCATCTTTACAATGGTCCAGCAACCATCTGCAGGCGAGCCCGCCGGCCCTGTGGTCAAGGGTGTCATTCCCACAGCTAAGCAGGCTCTCAGTGATCTCTTCATCTGGAAGCAGCGTGTTGTGATCACCAACGAGAATGGTGAAGAGACCACTGAGTGGCGGGACCCAGATCCCATCAAGAACCCCATCAGTCTCATGGCTCAGCTTTCTGGCAAGGATTGGATCTTCTTCCTCGTGGGATTCTGCGCCTGGACTGCTGATGCATTCGACTTCCACGCTCTGTCAATCCAGACCAAGAAGCTGGCGGCCTACTATGACACCAGCAAGACCTCCATCACCACTGCCATCACCCTCACTCTTCTCCTCCGATCTGTCGGCGCCGCCATGTTTGGTCTCGCTGGTGACAAATGGGGTCGCAAGTGGCCCATGGTCTTCAACATGATCATCCTCGGTGTTCTTCAGATCGCCACCATCTACAGCACAACCTTCCAGCAGTTCCTCGCCGTGCGAAGTCTCTTTGGTCTCTTCATGGGCGGAGTCTACGGCAATGCTATCGCCATGGCTCTCGAGTCGTGCCCGTAAGTCAAACCTACCCCAATTGAACTTCATTATGCCAAGTTTGCCAAGTTTTGGAGAATGTTTTTATTTCCGTGCTAATATCGCTCTAGCTCCAACGCTCGAGGCTTGATGTCTGGTATTTTGCAACAGGGCTACTCTTTCGGCTACGTCTTGGCTGCATGCGCCAACCTTGGCGTTGGAGGTAGCACTGAGAGTTGGAAGACGGTTTTCTGGATTGCCGGTAAGTTTTCATCGCCAAAGCCTATCATTTAATTTCTACTAACAACAATTAGCTGGTATCTCAATTGCCGTCGGTATCGTTCGTATCTTCTTCCCCGAGTCCCAACAATTCCTCGAAGCCCGCGCCAAGGGCAAGCAGTCTTCCACTCCCGGTGCTTTCTGGGCAGACTGCAAGAAGATGCTTATCGCTGAGTGGAAGATGTGCGTTTACTGTTGTTTCCTCATGACTTGGTTCAACTACTACTCGCACACTTCTCAAGACTCTTACACTACCTTCATGCTGACGCAGAAAGAACTCAACAACTCTGCTGCTTCTCGTGCCTCTATTCTCATGAAGACTGGCGCTTGTGTTGGTGGTACAATCATTGGATACCTCAGCCAGTTCGTTGGTCGTCGCCGTGCCATCATCTTCTCGGCTTTCATGTCCGCCCTCATGATCCCAGCCTGGATTCTCCCCACAACCGAGAGAGGACTCAGTGCTTCTGGTTTCTTCATCCAGTTCTTCGTTCAGGGTGCCTGGGGTGTTATTCCCATCCATCTCAATGAGCTGTCGCCTCCTGCCTTCCGATCTTCATTCCCTGGTGTCACCTACCAGATCGGCAACATGATCTCATCTCCCTCCGCCCAGATTGTCAACGCCATCGCCGAAAAGACATTCGTCACTCTCAAGAACGGTGACAAGGTTGAGGCTTACGGCCCTGTCATGGGTATTGCCACTGCTATCATTGCCCTCGGTATCATGTTCACCACTATGTTTGGTCCTGAGAAGCGTGGCCGTGCCTTTGAGCATGCTGTTGCTGGTGTTCACGACGAAAACCTTCCTCAGCACCAAAAGAAGGATATCGAGACTGCTAGTGTTGAGCAGGTCGAGATGGATGAGAGAAACAAGAACAAGGAGGAGGCTTGAATAGCGTGATCACTTTGAAGCAGCTAGTTTAGACATGACATCTCGAGTTTGCAGCAACACAATCTCGATAACCTATGAATACAATCATCAATGAAATATTTGCTTCCCATCCCGCCTAATCATTATGGCCTTTTGTAGTTTCTCAATACCCTAGCAATCACGTCATGGTGTTCAGCCTCTGCAAACTCTGCTGCATGGCGACACCTTTCCTCAATCGTGTCAGGTTCTTCGTCATTGTCTAACAAAAGATGGACCATGTCAAGTCGGCCGTGTTCTGCTGCCCCTTCAAGTGCCGTTCTTCCATCAATCTCTGCTCTATTGGCGCAGACACGAGCCCCATTCTCGAGAAGGAAAACGGCCATATCAATGTTGCCATTGATCGCTGCAAATTGGAGAGCAGTTGCTCCTCTTTTAGTCGCGGGCGCTGCATTGACTGTCGCTCCATTTTCGACGAGGCAAGTGACAATTTGATGATTATCAAATCTTGCGGCGAGCTGCAGACATGTGAACCCTTCGTGATGGGCTGGATTTGTATCGACGCAAGCCCCATTCTCAACGAGAAACACGGCCGCCTGAGTACGATTATTCGCAACTGCAAGTCCTAGAGCTGTCGCATTATAGTAAGGGCTAGCTTCTTCGTTAACCGAGGCTCCATGTTCGACGAGACACTTTACTATCTCAATTTTGCCACGCATCGCGGCGTACTGCAGAGCTGTCTGACCAGAAGATTTCGGGTTGGTATTGGCACCTCGGTCTAGAAGGTACTTTACCAATTCCAAGTCCCCAATATCGGCCGCCCTTTGGAGTGCAATTTGCCCAATTGCCGAGCCATTCACATTCATCATCCCCTGCTCAATAAAGAACTTGGCCAGCTCCGCGTTTTTGTCAGAAATAGTCAACTGAAGTACAGTTGTTCCAACTGAGAAAATGTTCAAATTGGCGCCGGCTTCGACAAGTAGCTGTGCCAGTTTTTTGTTTTTGTTAGCAACGGCCACCTCGATTGCAGTCACCCCGAGCCCTGAAGCATTGATATCAGCTCCTGCTTTGATTAAAAGCATGGCAAGCTCCACATCATTATTAGCAACAGCTAGCTGAAGGGCAGTCTCTCCAGTTGATGCATTGACATCGGCGTCAGCTTTCAAGAGCAACTGGCATTTCTCTATAGCATCATGTTGTCGAATGTGTCCTCGTGCGACTTGTACAAGTGGCGTCCCCCACATGGAAGGCTTATTGACATCTGCACCATAGTTGATAAGTGACTGGACTGTAGAGAGCGAGGCGACTTGTTTAAGAGCAAGCCCAAGCGCAGTTCGTCCACTCAAAGGATCCGCCGCGTTCGGATATGCACCTTTTGAAAGAAAATACAAAGCTGCGCTTTCGTTGCTTCTCTCAAGAGAAACGAGAAGCGGTGCTTGGCTGCCATCAATCAAGGAATGTATGTCTGCTCCCTTGTCGGCAAGCATTTCTATAAATCTGCCATCGGATTGATATATTGCCCGCTTCAGCGGTATCTCGAGTCTGGTATGACAACAGCAACCACGGCGACATATGGCCGGTGATTGCTGGTTGGGGTTGGCGCCAGCATTGACTAAACGTTGTGCCATGTAATGATTGCCTTGGTGCAATGCTAGCCAGAGAGGTGTGGGGTATCCAGGCTGAGCACAGTCGAGCTTGGACTTGACAGAACGTTGTATCAACAAGTCGAATGTTTTCTGATCTCCACTCCATATACATTCGCAAATCATGGAGCATATATCTTCTTGTTTTATGCAAGATAAGGCAGGATCGAGAACCTTAATGTCGTCTGTCAAGCCCTTGCAGATGGCGACTTTGACTGCTGACAGGATAAATTCCCTGGGCCACTGTAACCCAAGGCATTTCCAGGACATCATGACTGTGTCCAGAAGTTCCAGGTTGCCCGTGGACATCGCTTCTGCCAAGTAGTTCGTCCCATCGACGCAGTTGACATTCCCTCGTTGACTCACGAGTTCCGAGAGTACATAATCCACAAACTGAACAGAGCCAGACTTTAGAGCCGCTCGGAAAAGGGCAATTCCATCCGTTTCTGAGGTAGAGGCAAAAGGGCCAGCGCCTTTTCTCAACAAAAGCTTGAGAAGTTGATAATCTTCGCATTCGGTTGCAATTTGGATTGGTGTTCTCCCTCCAACTTTCCCAGGTGGAGCATCTATATCTGCTCCTCGGTTCAACAAGTATTCGATCAGTTCTGTGTTCTTAAATCTATTTCTCAGTCCGCATGCCATTTGTAATGCCGCTACCTTGGTTGGATTTCGAAAATCGCTATTTCTTAGTTCACATGCCATTTGTAATGCCGTTGCCTTGGCTGGATGTCGAAAGTCGATGCCGGCGCCTGCATCTAGCAAGATTTTGGTGATATCGTCCGTGCTACGCTGGACCGATAACTGCAGCGGAGACAACGACCCTGAATGTCGAGATTGGCCCATCCTCTTGAGCATTTCGGGCTCGATGTATTCATCCAGGATAGCCCCGTTATTGATGAGACGTTTGACAATATCGGCAGCGCCTTCGCATACTGCGAACTGGATGGGAGTAAGAATCTTGCCTATGAGAAACAGGAGCTCATTTCTCAGGAACGCAACATCCGTATCCTCAAGTTGGTCAATGCATAAGCTTGAACTGGCCCCTGCTTCAATCAACATGTTGACCAGGTTTAAATCGTGCTGACGGATTGCAAAGTATATCATCGAAAGGCCGTCTGCTGGTAACAACCTTGGATTTGCTCCACCCTCCAGCAGTCGTTTCACGAGTCTCGAGTGGGATTTTCTGGCAGCCTGAAGCAAGGGCTTACCAGATCCATAGTTGAGATCCGCCCCAGCATCGATTAGCATGCCTGCGATTGTTCCATCGTAATATATACTCGCGGCGTAACTGAGAGGACTTCCTAGTGTTTCCCTGTTACTGTCCTGTGTCGTTGCATCTGGATCCGCTCCAAAATGAAGAAGGAGCTGAACGGCTTCACGGTCATCCAGTCTCACAGCTTTGTGGAGCGCCGAGTATCTGCGATCATTCGGATCAACGCTGTTGGGGCTGACTCCAGACTCGAGTAAGAAACGCATGAAATCCCTTCCTTTGCTTCCTTTGACTCCGAGCGCCGCAAACAGAAGATGCACCGCAAATATTTCGACAGTAGGTCCCCTCGTAGTAAGTAGATGTTTCATTCTGATGAGAAAGCCACTCGAGATGGCGACTTGGAGAAGCTCGTTGGCAGAGCTTCTGGGTTCCATCAGATTATTGGAGCAAAGAAACACCAGCGAGTTGAAAATTTTCAGCCATGCTGGCTCTTGTTTTTGAGGTGTTTTGATAGAATCATCCAACATTGGCACCAGTTGAAGCAATCTCTGTGCTTCCATGCTAGAGTGTTTCGAGACGCCGGATAGTAGTTTATTTGCCAATTCCCAAAAGCCAAGTGACTCGTTTCGTTGGTGTGGGACGAATAGTGGTGGCTGACTCTTGACTGCTTTGTATCAATATCGACATAGGACCGCTGGGTCAAGACTAAACTCACTTGGTTTATTAAAGCTTTCTCGGAACTTCAGCCAAGGGAGACCATCGAGGAGAACGACCCTTGAGTTGAGCGATGGCGGTGTACAAGCAACCACGCCAGATGTAATAGTAGCAGCGACTTATGAACATAACTAGTTAGCAGGTGTTTATATTCAAGTACAATGTACTTACGTTCTTCTTCGGCTGGTGAAACATGATATCTTCTCGCCTCTTTCTTTTGCCTCTTCTCCGAGATGACTTTGCCATCAATGCTGAGTTTCGTCAATTTTCCCTCTGCCTGACGCTTCTCAACTAAAAGTCTTGCATACTGCCACTGCTCTTTGGTGTAATTCTTTTGCAGTTTCCAGTTGACATTCACTTTGCGAATGTATTGAGGCTTTCTATCCTATAGTCAGATATTTGATAACAAACTTGCATTGTGGACTTGCGTAGCATGGAAGCCAGATTCGGCCATGATCTGGATAACCTCATCGAGAGTCTTGTCTTGATTGACGTACAGCTCAGTTATGCGAGGTCTGTGTGCTTCCCATACAGTGGGCGAAATTCTTGGTGCTTGCGGCATGTTGGATATATCCAGTAGGAAAAAAGACCTTTTAGAGATGGTAAGTGATGAAGGTATTGTGCTGCGCTGGAAGTTGAGGAAATGGGTGGAAGGTCGGACCTTAAGTACCAACCCAGGAAAGAAATTCACCAGCAGGCTTTCTTGCTCACCTGGTCAAAGCTGTCTGGCCTCTGTCCAAAATTCGCGTTTGATACGTACTCTTTCAGAGCCTGATTTGGAGGGCATGGTCATCATGCAGCAGCGCTCCAGTGAGGCTGATTCCTCAGGTCCCTGATTGGCAGCCAAAATTCGCGTTTCATGATCACATCCGCTATGCAGCAACGCTTGCCAGGGCCTGTAGAGCCAATAGTTGACCAATATGAAGAGAACCCTTTGATTGGGGTTGCTGTAGTTAACGGGCAGGCTTAGCAATGCCGATTTGTAGACTTTGGACGAGCCCAACCCCATAAAAGTGATCCCAGATGGCAATGTTGGTTCGTCTCTGCTTGTTCAGTTGTAATTTATATGCAGTTTAACTCCATGAGATGACCTCGATTATCAAGGCAGCTCAAATATTTAACCAGAGACCTCCGCGTACCAGTCTATAACCTGGTCAGTGACTTCGTAATGTACCACGGTGAACGTGAGTCGTGTACTCACGATGCTCTCGGGCGAGAGAAACAACCTAAACTCCTTACAAGCGTGGAAGAGCCATGATAGGTTGGCCAGAATTCGCGTTTTCATGTCTTACCCAAATCACAATACCATGCACCACCGCCGCCAGGACTGACGGAACTCGAGTATCGGAGCCATGGTAGCCACGCTAGCCACGGAAGAATCAGCCAAGCTCAGCCTTGAGGAACGACGTAAACATGCATATCACTTAGTCTAGTCTAGCCATAGCTTTCTTTTTTTTTCCCTTTCCGTGTGGGAAGGGGATAGTTTGCCAAAATTCGCGAAGCTGAGACGTATATATGCAATCCATTGGCTGGAGAGAACCCTGGACATCACCAATCACATTGCCATCTGCCCATCAACGCCTCGGAGCCACGCTTTATGATCTGTGAACAACCATCACTTTTGCCTGTCTACCAGACAGTTCTTTCTCATAAATTCTCTGGCTTCCGCATTCTTCACATTTGACATGTTTATTTCCCATGTTACAAACCTCCCACCAACTGTTAAAGCTTTCTATCCTTCTCTCAAGTTGAAATCACTGTCTTTCAATTACCAATCCTCTTACCCTTCCTATGCCTCCAGAGATCATAGTCGCCATCGTTGGCGTGTTAGTCAACGTCCCCACCTTCATCCTCGTCTTCTGGCACTGCTTCCGCAGAAGAACACCGTCTAATTCTGGTCGAAGCCAGGGTAAACTTTCTTTTCATCCTTATTTTCTGTAAATTAACTGACAAGGCTTTACAGAAGAGGCCCTTCTTCTTCAGTCTCCTACTGTGCAGCCTCGACGTTTAACATTCGACACTCAATACGCTGTAGCCTTTCCATGCACGATACCTCTCATCAACGTCTCAAGTCCCCGTCTTTGACACAACACTACACTTGATGTCCTCAATCAGACTACGGCATATATCCAATGGCTATTCTCTACGCAACGGTCGCAGACAACGAAAGCAATTTGGCGAGCTTTGGCACTTCATATATAGACACAATACACCTATTCATCACTCCTTGTCACTCCTCTTCAAAGTAGTCTTAAATCCCAACAACTCAACCTCCCCAGCCTTTCCATCCTCACTCTCAAACACCATCTCATCTAATCCCCGAAACTCATGCGCTGCTCTATCCACCATCGCCCAACTCATACAACTCGCATCCTCCCAGAACAGCAACCCCTCCTGCATCCCAATCTGACTCGCCGTACCAATTCTGAACATTGCTCTCCACGCTGTCTTACCCCCCGCTTTGAGATCTGTAGGATATAGTCGTCCTGACAGTGAGATCTTGGGTACGTTGGGGTTGAGCACGGAGAGGTAGTGAAGCCAATGTGTTGAAACCTCTGTTCCGCGGACTGTCCACTTTGTGATACTCAACCCTGGACCTTCGTCGTCAACGTCGAGAACGAGAGTCGAGTTTGTGTCCTCATTGGTGTATGTCCCTGCAAATGCCTTCTTCGCTTGGTCTTTACCCGCTGCTTCGAGTGCAGGCACGAGAGCCTTTGCGATCATCGAGAAGAATACATAGGGAAGACCTCCAGCATTCTCAGGTCCTCCGACCAATACACTTATAACTATACCGTAGTCCGGAATCATTGCAAAAATGGAATGATAAGTTCCTATGTCGCCTCCTTTGGTGTAGGCTGTGACCACCCGTTCGTCAGAGGTCAGCTTATTAGATCGCACAATCTCCCATGGCGCGCCGATAAACTGTCCCCTGCCACCCGTAAAAGTCACAGGTTTGAGCCACTCGTTGGTTTCTGCCAGGTCCAAGAACTCATGCTTGAGGATAGAAGATCCGAAAGCAAGGAGGTCTTTTGTTGATGAGTAGAACGATCCACCTCTGTACAAGTCAGCCAGATGCTAGTTAGTACTCACGGACATGATCCGACTTACGGGCCAAGGATACCGATAGAACTATTCCAGAAGATATCATCAGGTCCAATGGCCCCCACGGAGTCATCGGGCTTCGCATAAGTCGTGCTGTTCATCCCCGCGACATCAAGAACATTCTTCTGCACAAAGTCTTCGAACGACTCTCCCGAAACTCTCTCTATGACTAGGCTGATAACGAAAAAGGCGATGTTCGAGTACACGGGATTGCTCCAAGGTGCAAAAGTCGGAGGTCGTTTGCCAAAATTATACCAGAAATCTACCCACGTAAGCCAAGTCAATATTTGTTGGTTATTACTCACCTTGGGATTCACAAGGAGGAATTCCAACAAGACCAGCACATCCCAAGACATCGTGCGGAACAGGAAGACCGAGGTCAGTCCAATTCCTAAAGCTTGTCAAATCCGTCACCACTACCACACATCAGCATCTCACTTCTCATTGAACGCAAAACTTACAATCAGCAGGCAGGCCTCCCATGTGCGAAGCAAGAGCCTGCAGCGATACCTTATCCCAATCAACAGTCGTAATCGCATTATTCTCACTCTGCTGCTTATTCAACTTTCTCAATTCAGGGACATATTTCGTCACCGGGTCATGCATGCCCACTCCCTTGAGTTTAAGCGCAGCGAGGGTAGTATACGTCTTAGAGATACTACCAATGCGATAAACCGAGTCGGCATCGATCTTGCTCACGCCTCGAGGATCGAGATTCTCTGGCGTGTGATGAAAATCCAGCAATGGTTTGTCTTCGTAAATTGACGTGACACCGACCGAGACAGCCGTGCTGTGCAGGAGGCTCGAATAAGCCTTTATAGTCTCTGTGATAGCTTCAATGGCAAGTTTCACATTTTGATGTGAGCTTGGGTCTGTTGGTGCAGGAAGGACAGGGCCAATTGGAGGGCAATGGTAGTTCTTTGCAGCGAGTACATCGCTAGTGAGTAAAAGCCAAAAACAGAGTGGCTGCACTTGGATCTTCATCATGTAAGTCACTCAACTACTGAAGCGATGAATGCAGGACTCGATCCGCTGAAAGTGAATGCGGTGATTGAGCTTTATATAAATAAGACGGCGCGTTATCCTCCCGCAAGGTACATAATCCCCCGCATAACATCCTGGCCACTATGCAGTCCTCGACTCACAATTCCTTGGCCTGGCGATCAAGCTCTTTATCCCACTTACCCATTTAGGCATCATCCTGCGCCAAATAATGTTGACAGTATCTCAGCTACAAGACAAGTAGGTGTTTATAGGCAAACATACACAGGCGAGAGGAGTCATGGAACATGAGCCTAATCCTCAACGACAACCACTTTTTAATCTCAAAGTTTTAGAATAATCTCGGGAGGTCTATCAAGAAACGAGAATGGCTTCCTGGTTACTAACATGCCCACTTAATCTTAGCCTCCAAAGTGATTCGGTGATTAAGTGATTTAGTCGCTAGCAGCAACGATGAAGAGGTCAGAAAGCAATGAAACCAATAAACGAGAAACCAAGTGATTCCCAAGACTTTTAACTAATAGAACTCGTGTTTCGTGTAGTAGTGCAACTTATCTTCTCACTTTATAGGATCCGTCCGCCACCACCACTAACAACCATCCATGGTCCAAGGCTATATAAATATTGTAATCGCTTTAAAAAAAATAGTACCTCTTCCTCACGCGCCATATGGTAGTCCTCGGGGCACGGATCGTTTTATTAGAGGATGAGTCGGGTGGGTTTTCTGAACTGTGTCTTGCAGTATTGTCATCGCCATTGGCGTCTAGGTCCTAGACCATCCGGGTCTGCAATTGGTTGTTCTCCTCCCTCAGTGTTTTCAACTGCTTCTCAAACTCCTTGTTAACCCAATCCCAGTATCCTGTCCAGGTACTGGCGGCACCAGCGTTACTGGTAGCTGCCCCGGCGTTACCAGTCATGGCCTTCATCTTCTCTCCTAGGAGCGAAGTCACTCTAAGAATGCTCTTGTTGGCTTCCTCTTGTTTCTCCACGTCCTGCTTTACAGCATTATCCTTGAGCTTCACCGAGAGGACAGTTCTGTACGCCTCAGCGATCGAGTTCAAACGTCGAGTTGTCTCATCGGGGTCGATCACGATCAGCTTGGTCACCATGAGATTGCAGAGCTGCCTAATATCATTATCATCCTTGAGACCAGCGACGACACGATCGTAAAAGTCGATGTTATTGATGCGACTGAATGCAGTCTCCATCAAGGCGTACAGTGTCTCATACGCGCTCTGCTGCAAGTCAGTTCCTGTTCACAACGAGTTGATTGTAAACGCACCTTTCGGACCTCAAGGCCATCGTCGACGGTATGCTTGAAAGGACCCATCATCACTTCCTTCACAAGTTCCTTCTTAATGACCGATTCTTGCAGAACAAATGGCATTAGTTCTCCCAAGTGCGGGTGGATTAGATCTGGCTTCGATCGAGCAGCTGTAGTGAGCGTGATCATTGCCAGTCGGCGAATATCCATATCGGAGTCTTGTAGCATTGTCAGGAGCATCTGAATTAGAACCTCCCGTAGCATCACGTCCAAAACCTCGTCACTTTCGGGAAGGGTATAGCGAACAGCTTGAACGGCCATTCCTCGAATACCCAAAGACTGGTCCTTTAGGAGAGCCTATGGAGAGTTAGAACATTCAGAACGGAAGGGTTTGAGGATGCGTACCTGAAGGCGTGGAATAAAAACGGCAGGGTCGAGTGTAACAAGTCGTCCAACACATTCAGCACAAACGACTCTGTTGTCAGCATTGTCGGAAGCCTTGAGAAGCTCGTCCCAGATAGCTGGGGCGTAGTTTCGCAGGTCAGTAGACTGTGCAGAGATCGATTGCAGGATTTCTTTGATGGACTGAATAAGGAGATACTGAGTGTGTCCGCCTTTCTGCATGGTCTTCAAGATGACGGGAAGGAATTCCGGAACATTACCGGAACCTGCCTGGCCAAGAGCCACGGCTGCCGAGAGAGAAACCTTGTCTGGTTCCTCGTGGAACTGGTCCAAGAAAAGATCAGGCTTCATGGTCGAGCTTGTTCCGAGTCTCTTTCCGGCTTCACCTAGAACAGCCAGTGCAAGACTGACTCGGGCTTCGTCGTTCGTTTTCGCACTTGTATAGAGCTCCGTGACAAAGCTATCAAGCTTGACACCAACTGAATCTCCACCGGTAACGAGCAGAGTTCCAATGACTTTACCAACGACAGGAGGATCACCTGCAACGCTGACGTTTTTCAGAAGTCCCTGCATGAGCCCCTGGCCGACTCCGCTCTCGCCAATATTGCTGACTAGCACAAGAAGTTGGTCAAGAACGATCCCTGCGTGATGTTCCTTGAGAAGCTGCGAGAGGGCATCGATCATCCCATCAGTGACCACCAGCTCAGGGTGCTCGGGCACCAAGCTTGCAAGGATAATTAATGTCGGTCCAAGGAGATGCGCATCGCTGTTAACGATGATAGGCATCAATTCGGTGACAATTCCTTGAATAGTGTCAGGTTCGAGCTGACCCTTCGTGGCGGGCGACAAGACAAGGTTACGAAGAGCAATAATACTGGAGCCACGGAGCGACCGATTTGCTTTTCGTAGCTGTGCTGCCAGTTCCAAACTAACATCCTGAACCCATACCTTGTCCAGTTGTTCAGGGGTCCGGGCATAACGGGCAACGTTCTCCACAGCGCGGACAGCAGCAAGGCGAGTAGTCTCATTCTTCAGTCTCTCTTGGAGGACTCCCAGAGCAGTCTTTACCTTATCCTCAGAGAGAAGGGAAGATCCCTCGGAGGTTGAAGTTCGCGAAACAAGGACTCCCAATGCATGAATGGCGCGTTGGCGAACCTCGGCATCGGCATCCTGGGCGGAAGACCTTTCTATAATGACGGTATAAAGCTTTTCCAGCTCAGCCTTGTACTTGGAAGCAGCATTACGTGACCGTGGAGTAATCGTCTTGATCAACTCCTCAACAGTGCGGATAGCCTCACTTGAGATCTTGTAGAAACGGTTGTTGGCAGCAGATGCAACACCATCGACAATCTTCGTAAGATAGGGCTGTAGAATAGTTGACGAGTGAGTCTTGGCAATGTCACTGATCACGCTAAGAGCAGTGATTCGCAACGTGCTTGGGGTCGCTGAAGAGGAGCCGGAATGGGACGCCACTTGAGTCGAGGCAGTTACAGCACCAGTAGGCTGGATAGCCTCAATTATAGGCCCAATGACTTGGTCAAAGTACTCAGCCAATCCGCCGTGTTGAACTGAAACTATGTCATCCAGAAGCTTTATGACTGCCTGCTTGGTAGGAATAGTCTTGCCCTTGAGTTGCTTGGTGATTGCCTTAACAATAGACGGTGTAAGGCGAGCCAAGTCAGCTCGTGGACCGCTAGGAGGAATTTTCTCCAGGACTGGTGAAACCAATCCAGATCCTGACATGAATTGGGACGCAGAAGCACCTCCACCACTACTCTGGCGTCTTCGTTTCCGGCTGATGGGGATGCGGGTCTCGGATTCTGGCTCAAGATCGTCTAGGGAGAGGTCTGTTGTGGGAAGTCCTTCACCAGTCTTGCGAACCAAGAGCGAAAGTGCCGAAATGATCTCAAGACGAACGTTCTCCTCTCGTTCAGAGATACGTTTGACGAGATGAGGTGCCGTCTGGTTGTATAGAACACCGTTCTCAAGCAAGTCACCGCTACCACGTGTTGAGATAACTGTGTAGATGGTCTTTGCAGCGCATCGTCGAACCTTCCAGCTAGCGTCATCATCGTCGTCCTCAAAGCCATCATCGGCATCGAATTCGCCGTCCTCATCCATTTCTTCGTCTTCCTCTTCATCCTCCATATCCTCGTCCTCGTCATCCACGTTGTAGTTGGGGTCATATTTGAGATATCGCAGGCAGGCTTCTATGGTTTCATCTGTGAACGGGCGCATCTCTTGGGGGCATGATGCCAAGAAGGCATCTAGGGCTACCAAAGCAGCTTCTCGGACCTCGTTGAAATCTTGCCCAAGATCGTCTCCGTCGCTAAGAGCATCGAGATGTTCTTGAAGCTCTTCCTCACTAAGTGCCTTGATGATCAAGGGTGCAGCACTTGCAAGATGGGGTCCAAATCGTGCGGGAATCGACCGGGCCATACTACCGAGGATCGAGATGTATAACCTCCTGGTAACAGGGCTGATTTGCTTCGTTAGACCAAGGGTGATTCGCCTGACTACTTCTTCCAGGTGCTCGTCAGACAAATAGACAGCGAGCATAGATATAGCCACGACAGCCCTCTTCTTTACAACTGATGTCCCTTTCTCGCTTTCAAGTAGCTGAATAACAACCTCTTGCATAGCCTCTACTTCAACCTGGACGAGCATAGGTCCAAAGCATCGGACAACCTCAATCAATACATCGACAGCTTCTGCGTTGAGGTCGCCTTCATTTTGTAGGAGTCCCTCGGGGACAGGAGGAAGAGGGACCTTGGGGTTCTTTGGAACCTGGGTTTTGGGGCCGGGTCCAATAAGCCGGGGGATCAACACGCGGCTGATGGCGCTATATGCTTCCCCCACATCGTTTGTTGGTGGGATGCCTGGAACTGGTCGAGGGAGAGCGATGATTACATTTCGCAGTGCAAGTGAAGGAACAGCATTGTCCACGGAGTTCTTAAGCTTCAGCGACGAGAGCTTCTCGATCATGGGAGCGATAACGGGTGTCGGGATCTTGCCCACAAATGGGCCCAGGCTGATTGTCGTTAGCACTTCATAGATTGGTCTGTCTGCTCAACATACCACTTCACTGCGAGGTTCTGCACCTCACCATTTTGATCGTCCAACACCTTGATGAGACTATCAACAGTACGAGCGGCGATGTTATAGTCGTGGTGCAGAAAGTCCGGTTTAGCGATATTCAGAAGTTGAAGTAAATCGTTTAGGGCCATGAAACGGAAGTCGGGGTCATTATCACTGAGCTTCGTAACGTGGCCCATCACCGCCTGCGGCGTGGCACTGATTGTACCAGAAGCCATACTGAGCGAGCTTCACGATGGTGTGAGCTTGATGGTTTCAGATCATAAGCGCGGGGTAACCGATGGAGGGGTATCGAGGAAGCTGATAATATAGAAGTAGAAGATGCGGTCTTGGTGCGTTACAAGTCAAAGATAATGAACTCGAAGTAACAGAAATGCTATTCGGATTGATTGGTACAAAGATTGAGAGTTTGAGCTTCTAGGCAAGGGGAAGAAGGTCGGAGCTGTCGAGGTGGTGCCCCGCTATGACATCCGAGCTGTCACCCCAGTCGCGGGACGGTCGTTGGTGGTGGTTCGGCATTTCTATTGATCCGTAGGCGACTGTACCACGTCTATAGGGTATCTCGATTGGATTATCACAGGTTCGGTGTACTACCTACATGTAACAGAATGCACAATGGTATAACTCCAGGCCAGCCAATGTTACTCCAATGATTCGTCTAATGCACTCATCTTGCTGCACTAAATGAGCTTAGCAGGAGTTGACCCACAGTCATCAATGGCTGGTCAAACATCGTTCACTGTATGCACGAAGAACAAGGGCTTAACCCAGTAATTCAAGTGCTTGAGTATCAGACCAGTTTTGTGCTCGAGTGTCTAGCTACAATTCACAGCAGTTTCAACAGCTATTCACTAAACTTTGAGCAGTGATGGAGCTTTCAATCGCAGCGTTTGACGACTGAATGAGGACGACGGATTGCCTATAAGAAGCACGCTCTTGGAACATGTCGATTCTCTCATGCCCTCAAGATCTTCTGACTATACAGCAGGCCCACGATTATCACTTCAAAGCACTATAAAGTTGACCTACCCTGTTAAAAACATGCGCCTTCCCCTAAGTTTGGTCTCCCTCCTCTCGCTCGCGACCGCAAATCCTGTGTCTCGCAACCCCTCAAGTCAGGAGGGCGAATATACCTGGCAATGTGGCAAGGTGGGATACTTCTCAGCAATATTGAATGCTTCCTCTCTAATAATATATCACAGACAGCTCCATACAATTCATTGGATTGCAGCAAACTCCTTCATTGGATGAAAGATACTTCCAAAACAGGCTGGTTCGGTATTGGAAAAGCCGATCACTTAACCCAGTACTGGGATTCTTGCCAGATCTATATAATGACCGGGCCTCTCGGGCATTTCGCCCTCGAAATACAGCAGGACGAATTCGTTGATGTTATAAATCGGGGAATGACGCGCAAGTGCCAGGATGATTGGGTCCGGGTAATGGTTAGACCACACAACAACACTTGGACAGCCTTTCTAACGGAGAAGGGCTGGGAGCCTAACCATGGATTTTAAGAGAAAGGGAACATTCCTATTGCGGTTAACTTGAGCTAGTCATTCAATCAACTACTCATTATCTCAAGAGCTTTTCCACGTCAAACGCTTAAGGGTTCAGGGGTTGGTTGATAGTACAGTAATGTGAGTTTGACCTTGTCCATCAGTCTTTATGTTAGGTTCTAGGGCGATGCTTAGAATATACATGTGGCTTGCCTTTTGCTGAGTGCCCTTCGTGCTGCAGGAGTTTCACCCAATACCATAATCTCCCCAGGAAGCAGGAAGATACTAAACCTTAATATAAGGTGTTAAAATAAACCTAGTAAAAATTCCCCTACATTTAGACTAGACTTATCTAAATATCTTTATTACTTAGGGTTAAGATCCTGAGTTTCTTTCCTCCCTTAGGTGGAGATTCATCGTTCAGTCGTCTCTGTTGCATAGAAAGAACACTGTGATTGAGTTAAACCACATCTAGCTGCCATTCACAAAGCATGCAACGATCTAGTGTTGAAGACGTTCAATAGCACATGCGAATAGCTCAGGGAGTAGCATAATTCACTTTGAGCTCCAGCCCCTAGTGAAGCAGAGCCTTGATGTGCATCTACTCAAACTGCGATTCACAGGACTAGCTAAGCTAACTATAAGCTTATACAGTGATCAAGTATGTCCATGAGAGAGATATGAGGTGAATGAATGAAAATAAGACGCACATAAGGAGGCTCTGTTCGCGCTTATCTTAGCAAAGAGGCAATTTTCCTTACCTGCTTATAACCTGACTTACTTATAAAGCCACCACGTCACATTCGATCTCAAGAACACAGACCAGCTCCATCTGCCACAATGCAGTTTATATTGCTATTCATTTCGCTTCTATCTCTTGCGAGCGCCAACTTTTTGCGTCACAACATGGAGGCCTGGGATCCATCATACAATTCGAGCACATACTACTGGGGATGCGGGTCGAAAACCACAGCCGCTCGATCAGATTGTGAACAGGTTCTTGATCGAGCGACTCACAGTCATTTACTCACCGAACTCGGGAAACCCGGGCAGAGTAGATCCTTGACGCTTTGGTTCTTTTCCTGCAGAGTAACCGTGGCCGTCCAAGAAAAGTACGACCCTATAAACAGCCCTATTCAAATGGATGAGTTTCGAGATGTCGCGAACTGGGGATTCGGATCATTATGTGATCCGGGAAGGCAACGCACCTGGTTCAGTCCCCAAAATCACACATGGTATGCATATATTACAGACACGGCGTGGAAGCTTGGTGACAGCTTTTGAGAAAACGCATGCATTGGTGCTTGGTCACGAAGGAATTTGTTTCGGGACCGTCTTGGCAGTTCATAGGCTGATTGGACACTCGGTTACACAGATGATTAGAAGAAACGGGGTGAGAGGAGGAGAACTTTGAGCCACAGTACCAAAGGAGGTACTGATGCACAAACCTGGCTTGAAGACCAAGTGAGGAGACCTTTATCCATTTCTGGACTTTGGGAACAACATCAAGACCAGTAGATATCAAACCAAGATATTAAAAACTTCGAAGGCATCAATTCTGCAGATTCAGTGAAAGCGCTTTTCATTTTTATTATCCAGAAGCCCAAGTTTTATTGTGGTTTCGCAGCTAAATCGATCAGGTCGTTGGCAAGAAGGTTACACAAAACGCCAAAGATACGGCTTGACGTCAATCGTCAAGCTTCTACAGCCCAACAACATTTCTGCAAATCCATGAGGAAATTATCATAAGATTGTTCGCGACTCAAAGTAGACGAAGTTTGCCTAAAGCGAGCTGCTTATCAAGGCAGCTGCAAACACTGCTGGCAACTGCCCAGTCACCTGCGGGATGATTCACGGACAAACGCCTAACAGTAAACAAACTCCGAAGACTCCTCCTTGTCCCTTCTCTCCTGGTAAAGTCCTGCTCTTGAAATCTTCTTCATCTTCTCGTTGATTTTTCACGATGTCGGATCCTTCCAAGCCAGGCTCCTCAATGGAGTCCTCCAACGACATCGACATGACCTCGCATACGAGCGGCATCAATATGGCCTCAGATACGAGTGACATCAACATGGTTTGGGATACGGGCGACAACGAGACGTCTCTCATTGAGAAAATTCCTCCCGAAGTTCTCTCCTACGCCCTGTCCTTTATCCCCGACAGAGCCTCCATCCGTTCTGCCATGCTCTCCGGCCCGAAGCTTTACAACGCTTTCAAGCTACGTCCAGCCTACATCGCATCATGCGTCCTCTTCAACTCCATGGAGGAACCCGTTTACCGGGAAGCCGTCGTGACTTTCAACATGAAAATGGCAGAATGGAGGGGCCTCAAAGCTGGCATCAAGGCTATCAATCGCGTCTATTCGAGCGAACAGCAGCGTATCTACAGCCAGTTCCTCAAGTTCGATCGAGTCGAAGAGATGTGGCGTCTTCATAAAGCTGTCGAATACTTCGCACAGCGCCTTCCTTCGTCTCTCATTGAAAAGCATCCAGTCGTCAAGTACAAAAATGCATTTTCTATCAACACTAATGTTCGTGTTCGCTTTCAGCGTACGCTGTATCGTTTGGACGCGTGTTTGAAGATCACGAAGCTCATGATTGCATCGCACCTACATGATAATCATGGGAGGAACAGACCCCCAACCGAGGAGGAGCATAAAGAGGCTCACTGGGTTCATTGTTTGAAGGACCTGGAAGAACATCGCATTCTCAAAGCTTTTCACAACCAGTATTCTGCTGTGGAGATTGAACAGCTGACGAGCATCTGCGGCATCTTGGTTACCGAAATCGCACCTTGTAGGTATCTCACCAATAATGATTACACATGATGCTAATATTTCCAGCTTTCAATACTTTTCTCGAACGAGATATCGAATTGGGTACCCAGCTGCCATACTACATCAGCCATGCCCTTTGCCCTGGCTCAATGAGTCTCATTGCTCAAGGCCTTCCTTTTCTGAAAGACTTTCTCACTGCCGGGTCGCGAATCGAGAGAGCAAGAATCATGCGAAGTATCAATCCACCCATTGACTGGAACCCCCATCTCCCAACTAGACCCCCCTTCCCCGGTAACGACGAGCAGCTCACCTGTGTTGTGCATGACTACGAGGGGGCCCCGGGAAAGTGGGCTCGGATGGACACTCCAGACTTCATGATGCGTACTCCTTTCATCAAAGATCCCGACCCCGGACCAGAGAACGCGTGGCATATTCTAAGCCGCTTTGCAATTTTCATGAACGAATTCGATGGAGATGTTACCCCTTACCAGCCACTTCCCTGGGGGTACGTCTTCTGGGACATTGACATGTTCGACAAGGCTGAATTCACCAACATCAGAATTGAGCACCACAATGAATCCGGCTTCACCCTCGACGCAAGCCACCCAATTCACGCCACCTGGCAGCCCCTGGCTAAATGGGATTCACGTACGGCTACTGACCTATTGCTCATGTCCTGCCAGCAGAAGGTCTACCTCAAGAACCGTGGTGAAACGGGATACTTCAACTTTGACTCTTGGTCTATGTCCGCTGAAGTGAATACGTTTCAGCAGTTGGACGACATGTCCGGGGAAGAAGTGCGGGATCTGCTTCGCAACATCTCAACGCCTGAACTATTGCAGCAGTTTCTCACAGAGATGGAGGCTTCGCACCCGGATATTGTTCAAATGGCCATTGATTTGGCGGCAGCTGGAGCCGTGACTGCTTTGTTCGCAGGCACTTCGGCTGGATCTCCAGTTCCTGCAGGTGATGACGATGACGATGACAGTGATGACGATGAGAGTGAGGGTGATGCGAACTGAGAACTCAAAGTTGCCAGATTTGCGTGGCGTTTGAAGCCTGGAAGACAAGCCATCTTCAAGCAGCGAAACGCCACCTTGTGCTCCTCGCAGTGCCTCCAAGCGCCTTTGCGTGATCTACTGACTGTGTAGTTTGACAAAACTTCAGTTAGGCTTTTCACTACATCAGACTCTTAAGTCTTTTGTAATGCATCAGAAATTCAGTTTGGCTTTTCCTTTCAAGTATTGCGTCTATGGTAACGAAACAATGCTATTTGAGACTGTCTCGGACATATGAGACTAGCTCAGCCATGTATCACAAGGTCGCTACGAAAGGCATTTGAGACTGGGGAGTTACCAAGATCTCACAGATAGCGTCAGTGCTTAATGAATTGTGTCTTCTAGATGATCGATGATAATCTGTCTAGTTTGCTAACCGTGCGTCCCTCCGTGAGCGTGTAGATGTAGATTACGAAATCTTCAGAAGTACCGGATCCCACTCTAAGGTCCCCAGGCATCCCACATGTCTTCTACATCCATTGCATTCTCTACAAATGCATCTATATCACCCCTTCCCATAGAGTACCAAAGTGCTTCATCGTCTTCATCGTCGTCCTCATCAGACCCCGAATCATCTTCCCACTCCTCTTCTCCAATAAGTTCCCAAACGGCTTTATCTTCGCCCTCCATGTCTTGTCTCTTGAATTTGTAGTGATCCCAGTCAATCTCCTCAAGGTTAGGTACGATCATGGACTTTTTGTTCCAGAATTGATTGAGCCCCGCGATGAGGTTATCCTTAGATGTTGTCTTTGCAAGGGCGTTTAGCTGGAATTCCCGGACCTTGAGGTACTTGAGTCTCGAGTGTGTGACGCCAGTATCTAGAGTCGAAGTCGGTAGAGGATGGCCGTTCAAGCATAGGCGCTTGGGTGATCCAACGGCGTGTAGGAAAGCCTTCAAAGTGAGTGAACCTTCTTCCATGCGTCCTCTGTGAAAGACAAAAGTGACATCGAGGAGGTTGAGGTTAGGGAAGGCTTTGAACTGGTCCTTGTACGTATCGAGATTCTTGTCCCCCAGAAGCATTGTCGATGCCAGTTCGAAACCTGGTGGGAACGAAGTCAAGCTCTCTGGTCGCTCTGAACCAGCCACACAGCGAACGATAAGTTCTCTCACGGGCCGGTTCTCCTTGAAACTTCCATTAAAAAGCATCAGAACGAACTCCATGTCCAAGTCGATGTCGTTGAGTTGTAGGCTGTACAGATTCTCCCACAGGTTGATGTGCGGGGTGAAGAATTGTGCTTGCTTGCTCTCCTCAAACTCCGCCTTTTCGGTGCTGAGTTTCTGCAGCTTTGGCATGAGAGGGAGGCCATCATGCACCGCCTTGCACATAATGTGATCCAGTATGAAGGCCTTTGGATTGTTGTTGCAATCCCGCCAGGTAAAGCTGGTGACGTTTGGCGACAAGAAGAGAATAGAGGCAAACAGCAGTTCCAGAATGCCATCATGCTTGAAGTCGGGAGAAAACATGAATCGCTGTTTTGTTCGCTCAAGCATACAAGCCGACCAAGCGAGTTTGTGAAGACCAGCGCCATCGAGAAGACGCATCAGAGCAGGTTTGTCGGAAGGACATCGCTTTGACCAAATCTTCTTGCATTCGGGCATTTCGAGTTTCCTGACCCGAAGTCCCACCAAATCAGCATAGCAAAGAATGTACTGAACATGTTGGCGAAGTTCAGGCCTTTGAATGAGATTGATGAAAATGTTTGTGACATCCTGGGGATTTGTCAAGATGAGATTCCGATAGAGCAAGGGTTCCAAGACATCCCTGGTGGCTTTGGAGGTATATGTCAGTCTGGAGAGAGTGGCTGACGCCTTGTCCATGCAGCAATCGCAGGAACTGTTGCTGTCTATTTGGTGCTCATGCTCAGTGACGATCTCGGCAGCCAGAAGAGATCCGATGTGATAGAGGATGTCGAGGGGCAGTCTTGGTGTTAGTACAGGTTGTGGCACTGTTACAGACTGTGACTGTGCCGCATTTCGAGGCTGTGGCTCGCCTGAAGTCGCCATGGTGAGCGGTTTGAAATAGTGGCCGTCGGGGCCAGTAGATAAATTAGTCTAGCAGATAGCGGAAATTGTAAGATGAAGCTTAGAGAGCGGACCGTGAACGTCAAGCCGACACGTCTTGAAGATGATGCAGAAGCAAAGATATTTCGGCCAGTCGCCCACGGTAGGTGGGCTGTAACACCTTAGTGGCTTGATACAAAGGCCGCCGCCGAAACCGCCTACACCTCAGCTAAACCTAAGGACAGGAGAACCTCGTTCAAAAGCCAATGGTGCGGAAAACACAGATCACTTGAAATAAGGTATTATTGAAACTTAACGCATCTGACCTAGTTAATCGAAACCCCAGTTTCTGAAACCTCATTAAGCCCTGAAGAATGATCAACTACCTCTAGCTACCGTACCGCACTGAGTCCAACTGCCAGAGCTCTCACTACGGCCCCACACCCCGCCATCCGTCCCGCTGTGGAAACGAACCGATCCTCAACATCAACAAACAAACCATTCAAAATAACTACCTTCACATCCTTCAGAATGGTAGCTCTCCCTTGCTCGAAGCACTTCTCCCCTAGCTAACACCCCCAGAACAAAGACTCATCCTTCACGTTCGTTCACATGCACCGCTCCCGCGACGCAGACCTCTTCGAGGACTTCTGCAAGGACAAGCTCCCCGATGACGAGATCTACGTTCCGCCCGTCCACCAGCCCATCAACCCGGAAGACGAAGACGATGTTGTGCCTGATCAACATGCCGCTTTTGGAATTCAGCGCGCTACGCAAAAGTCAAAGGAACCTGCTTGGAAGGACCTGGGTCTTTCGGAGCTCATGAACAAGGGTCCTAGTATTGGAACTGGTGGAAAGCCGAAGGGCACTGGAAGTGCTCTGCCGCGATGAATGGGATACACATTGTTGTTGTTGCTGTTTTAAGTAAGGCGTTGGGCGTAGCATGACTATAGAGAAGCAGCATGGCAGAATGGTTCAATATTAAATCAGGCATGATATCACGTCACCAAAGACACAATTCGTCTCTATCAAACCCAACCCATCATAAAACTCCAAAACTCCATCCCCACCACTTAATTCTTCCCCAAGAATCCCTCCCTCTCCAAGACCTCCGGTCTGAACTTGACGAGGAAAACCGTCTTGCCAGGCCACATATCACCCTCTGCAACCGTATGCGCTGTGACTCTTGCTGGGAAATCAGCTCCGTCGCAGACACCTTCCACAATACCGGCTACGTAGGCAGCGCAGTTCAGCTGGCTCATTTCTTTGGGTACGCTGATGTATTGGTTCACGAGAGGTTCGTTATCGATGATCATGTATTCGTCTGGTGTCTCGGGGTTGGCGGATTTCTCGAGTCTGTCTGCTTGACGGCCGAAGAGGTGCTGCCAGATGTTTTGCTTTATGAAGTGAAGGAGGGCAATAATGCTTAGTGGTCGAGTCTGCGTACGCGCTGGCTCGCGGAAGAGGAGAAGATCGAGGAGTTTTAGACCGATGGAATGGCCTTGAAGATTGAGTCTGCACATAATTAGCTTCCGCGCTTCATAAAAAGAGGCGATTGAACGTACCGCTGCTCGAGCTCCTGAATGCCCTTGACCCTTCTCTGCGCATACGTCACCATCTCGCCAAACAGATACGCAAAGCTCGCCTGGCTCAGCTCAGCCGTCTTGGTCCTATTCAACGGGCGACTGTAGATATTCTTTCCATTGCTGGGGTATCGCAGACCAGGGTCTTTGCTGCCGCTTGGTGTAGGCGTTGGCGTCACGGTGTTGGGGGGTTGGAGGTTGCTCATGATGGGCTGTGAGGCTGTCGCTGGAGCATTTCGCAGCTTCTGATATTATTTCGGGTGTTCGTAGAGCTCGTGGGCGGTAGAAATCTAACGTGGTTGCCGTGCTTTGAGGCTCGTTGTCGCACGTGTAAACGAACGTGGGTTTATCTGGAGGGTGAGGTAGAGGGAGGTGACATATGTGGAGACATGAGGTGCTGACCGAGCTACACCGAGAGTTCACCTTGATATGGAAGTCAATCACAACTACACTGAAACATTCATCAACATCAACAACAGCAAGAATTTCAATTAAAGAAAGTGAGGCATGGACTCATGAATTACTAATTATGCTCTAAGACTACGTGTTCTGTCATCAAATTATAGCAAGAAGCAAAGTCCAGCAATTATCATCCTCATGCAAACCCAAGCATCACCCCTTCGGCGATGCATCTGTTTGAAGTCCTTAGACTACTGGACGGTCGCAACCTTGGACTTGAGCTCTTTCTGCTTAACAGTAGCCTCAATCCAGCCAGAGGCATCCTCAAGCGCCTTTCGAGGACTCTTCTTGCGCTTGAGCAAGAACCCCTGAATCTCTGCAGGTGAGAACATACCTTCTGGGATAAGTTGTCCAAACTCCTGCGAGATCTCCTTGAGTTCTTCGATCGAAAGAGTAGTCTCTTTGCTCTTGTTATCCACGAGACTGTGGATACTGCCATTCTGTGCCTTGGGGGCGGCAGGTTTGGTCTTGGACATGGGGACTGGCTTGTTACGCGACATCTCGTACATCCGGTAGAAGAGTTCCGATGCCTGTGCGCTGGTTGCGTTCTTGAACCCAACTTGCACATCGACTCGGCCCGGCCGAATGAGAGCCTCGTCGAGGGACTCGGGCTTGTTGGTGGTCATGATAAGAATGCGACCTTCGTGCGAAGCAACACCATCAATGGCGTTGAGAAGTCCAGAAAGTGAAATACTTTCCACAGTCAAGATGTTATTAGTACCCCTGTTGCTAGTATTCTCTCTGTCTCTTCTGTTGCGTCTTCGCTTTCTGCGTCTCTTTCTGTCATCCTCGGAGCTGTCGGTATCGCTGTCGGAAGAGTCTTTGGACTTTTTGGTTTTCTTCTTTTCTTTCTTCTCCGACTTTTCTAGCTTTTTACCTTTGGCATCGCTGCTCTTTTCTCCGGTAGCGTCTTCATTCTCCTCCTCCTCGTCTTCTTCACCGTTGGGGCGACGAAGACCAGCAGTGTCGATGTCTTCCAAAAGGACAACACACCGGCGGGGAAGTCTAGTGAACAAGACAGCCAGATCCTCTTCGCTGACGGTAGGATCCTGAAGACTGATGACATAGATATCGATGCCGAAAACGCCAGCCAATGCAAACGAGAAACTTGTCTTGCCAGTGCCGGGTGGTCCGTGAAAGAGATAACCACGGCGGAGAGGAATACCTCGAGAAGCATACCACTTAGGAGTTCCGGGGTGCAAATACTCATTGATGTCTCGCAAAACATCGTGCTTCTCTTCATGCTCGAGAATCACAGTTCTCATTGGTCTGATAGGTCGCCTCGCGACTTGCTGCCACATACTCCAAGCATCACGGCGACTTTCTTTTATTCTGGGGCGGTAGATGGTGGTCTTGTGGCGAGTATCGAGGAAATAGGCTGCTTTGGCATCTGCAAGAAGTTGCTTGATAGGGTCTACGAATTGTCAGTCAGGTATCGATTCAAGATCCGTGATATCAACTTACCAATAGACCTGCCGAAGCAAGATATCTTGAGCTCCTCAACATCCTTGGTCCCTCCCCAGCCGTTGGTACTTTGCAGAGACTCTCTCTTCCGGTTGACCCGAAAGTAAGTCCTGTCATGCCAAAATCCTGTGGTGCCCATGGCTGGGACATATCGTGGATTCTAGGGGGTGTCAGTGGCTGCTGAAAGCACGAGTACGAAAACTTACACATCTAGCGGCGTCGCTGGCAAAGTTGAGATACTTGGGCGAATCTTCACCGTCTTCGACAGTATTAGTGGCTAATACATCGGCTTGGTCTTCTTCCTCGTCCCAAGCACTCTTAAATACAGTCTGGGCTGTGAGATGGCGATTAGACGCAATGTCCTGCTGCTCCGACAGGAACTGCATGAGCGTAGAATAGATCTGGTCATTCTCGCTAACGTATATGGTACACCTGAAGTAAGTGTGAAAGAAGTTATCGAGCGCTGCATATACTTGATCAAAGAGTTTAGACAGGCCCCAGATACAACCGAGGAGGGTGAGGAGCATGGATGGGTCAAGGCCCAACTGAGCACCCACGAAGCGGTAGACGAATAGGAAGAGCTGGAGCAGAGGCGAAGCTTGGCCTGCGGATACAAGAAAAGTGTCCATTATTCCAGGGAATGAGGAGGAGGAGGAGTTTAGTGGTTGGGCGGTGCTGTTCATGGCTTGGAGAAAAGGAGACCAGCCCATCTTGCTCATCTTGGTGATGTCCATGGTGTTTGAGAGAGCGAAGCTGTTCAGGCCGTGATAAGGCAGGTGTAGGTTGGTTTCAGGTTGCAGAAGTCTAGTTCCTCCTGTTGGCGAAGACGTTTATGCGGATGCAAGTGTTCAAGTAACTGATCCAATAGATAGAGGTCCTTTCTTGCTCGGACGAGTTAGATGCAAGACTGCGCTGGCAGGGTCACACAACTTCTCCTCGGGGCCTCCTTTTATACCTGAGGAGAGGGAAAGGAGGAGAGCATATGACCTGACCCTCGGGTTCGGCCCAGCTCTGAGTCGGTGTTGGTTGAAGACGCTGATGCTGTTGCTGTTGCTACGGGTGAAGTGAAGATCAGGCTGTGATTAAGAGAGGCTCGAGAATGCCTTGTTATGCACTTTGGGCGCGTAGTATGCAGCTCGAATCCATGAGAGGAAACCCTGTATTTATATCAGTGATTATGTAGGTTGGTCTCCTCCTGGTCCGAATCCTTTAGGAAGTGGTTAGGTCATGTTGGGTCATGTTACCAAGCAAAAAAGCACACTTGTTTTCCCTTTTTTGCCCTACGTATATGACAATTAGGTAGCCTACGCACTTCCCGGACGTAAACACACAATCTGCCTAGAATCTAGGCTCAAATCAAGACTGTTTATATTCCTGTTTTCGTGAATACGTGCACGGGGGGTTTGATTCACCCTAAAATAGACTATGCCACTTTGTGTAACGATCGAGTACTCTCCCGGACCAAACCATAACCAAGTGTGACTCAAAACAATTCTT